AATAAGGAGCCCCCGCTGGTATAGCTCAGTTGTTTGGAGCATCAGTCCCATAGACAAGAGGGTCGCAGGTTCAATTCCCAGTTAGGACACGTGCCCAGGTTGCGGGTTTGATCCTCAGGGTACATGCAAGAAGGCAACCAATTGATGTTTCTCACTCACATCAATGTGTCTTTCCCCTTCCCCTTCTTCTCTCTCTAAAAGCAATGAAAAATGCCTTCAAGTGAGGATAAAAAAATAAATAAAAAGAGGAAATCAACAAGGAAACAGGGGCCTTAAATGACACATTAGACCCGATGAACTTGGTTGATATTTTTAGGACACTTCACCCAAAAGCAGCAGAATATACATTCATTTTAAGGGCACATGAAACATTTTCCAGGATAGACCATATGTTAGGCCACAGAACAAGTCTCAATAAATTTAAGATTGAAATCTTCAATCTCAGTGATATGAAAATAGAAATTGATTACAAGTAGAAAACTGAAAAACACACAAACATGTGGAAGTTAAATAAACATGCTACCAAACAATAAATGGGGTTAACAACAAGATCAAAGAAGAAATCAAAAGGTACCTTGAGATAAATGGAAAGGTAAGCACAATAATCCAATAATCTATGGAACACAGCCAAAGCCACCCTAAGAAGGAAATTTATAGCAATACAGGCCTACCTTAAGAAACAAGAATCATCAATAATCTAACCTAAGACACACACACACACACATACATACATACATACATACACACGAGCCCAAAAGAATATAACGAAGGAAATAATAAAGATCAGAGTGGAAATAAACAAAATAGAGTCTAAAAAAGAATAGAAAATATCAAAGAAACCAAGAGCTGGTTCTTTTAAAAGATACACAAAATTACCTTTAGCCAGACTCAGAAAAAAGGGCCCAAATAAAATCAAATATGAAAGAGAAGTGACCATGGACACCAAAAAAAATACAAAGAATTATAAGGAAATACTATGAACAGTTATATGCCCACAAATTGGACAACCTGGAAGAAGTGGATAAATTCCTAGAAATTTACAAAAATACAAAGAATTATAAGGAAATACCGTGAACAGTTATATGCCAACAAATTGGACAACCTGGAAGAAGTGGATAAATTCCTAGAAACGTACAATCTTCCAGGCAAGAAGAAACAGAAAATCTGAACAGACTGGTTACTACTAATGCAACTGAATCAGTAATCAAAACGCTCCTAACAAACAAGTCTTGGACTGGATGGTTTCACAGATGAATTTTACCAAACACTCAAAGGAGTAACATCTATCCTTCTCAAACTATTTTAAAATATGCAAGACAAGGAAAGGTCCCCAAATTCATTTTATGAGTCCAGCGTTAACCTGATACCAAAACCAGACAAAACCATAAAGAAAATATTCATCAATGATACCATCCAATAGGAGATTAATATCCAAACATATATAAAGAAATACAACTGACCATCAAAAAAACAAACAATTCTATTGAAAAAATAGGCAAAGGACTTGAATAGACATTTCTCCCAAGAACACAGACAGGTGGCCAATAGATATATGAAAAGATGTTCAACATCACTAATCATCAGGGGAATGCAAATTAAAACCACAATGAGATACCACCTCACACCTGTCAGAATGGCTGTCATCAATGATTGTAAATTGGTACAGCCATAGAAGACAGCATAGCAGTTCTTGAAAAAGTTAAAAATAGAACTACCATATGAGTCAGCAATTCCACTTTACAGTATTTATTCAAAGAAATCCAAAACACTAATTTGAAAAGATATATACATCCCTATGTTCTCTGCAGCATCATTCACAATAGCCAAGATGTGGAAGCAACCTAAGTGTCCATCAGTAGATGAGTGGGTGAAGGAGACGTGGTACATATGTATAATGGGTTATTACTCAGCCATGAAAAAAAGAACGAAATCTTGCCATAACAACAACATGCATGGAGCTGGAGGGTATTATGCTAAGTGAAATAAGCCAGACAAAGATAAACACTAAATGATTTCACTCAGGTGGAATCTACAAAACAAAATAAAAGAGAAACAAACTCATACAGAGAAAAAAAACTGATGATTGCCAGATGGGAGGGGGTGGGCGATGGGTGAAAAAGGTGACGGATTCAAAAGTGCAAATCACCAATTATAAAAAGTCATGGGGTGAACGTGCAGCAGAGGGAATATATATAGGTAATAATATTTAATAACTGTGGTGTCAGGTGGGCACTAGACTTACTGAGGGAACACAGGTCTAATCACTTACGTTGTACGTCTAAAGCTAATATAACACTGTATGTCAACTGCCATTGAAATTTTTTAATATTTTTAACAAATAAATGATAGTTGGCTTGTGTGTATGGGCTTGGATGTCCCAGAGCACATTCTGCTTCCAGTCTGCTCCCGAAGAGGCCCGCGGTCCCTCCCGCCCCCTAGCCCGTATTTCCTCCGCAGCCCTCGCGGACTGGACCAAGGCACCTTCAGCCCGTCCCAGGGTGGGCAGAGCAGCCTGGGATAGTCGTTCCTCTTCTTTTTTAATCCTGCAGACCCCACCCGCGGGCACCCTTTCAAGGTGCAGTTGTGCCATTGTGATCCTGGGGTGCCATTCTGTAACAGCCACTTGCTCCTCCTTTCCCACCAGCCCAAACCCCGCAGAGCAGAGAGGCAGAGCCAGGAGCAGGACAGAGGGTGGCGCCTGGGTTCGCGCTCTGCTGGCCCTGGGCTCGTGGCTGTGAAGGGGCCTCAAGTCGGGGCTGAATTGAAAGGAGCATGTTCTGATTGCATGGACATGGGGCGGGTTACTGGTTCGTGTTTTCTCCCGGTTAAACTTTTCAAGCTGACTTGGAATGTGGCCCTTTAGAACCCTTTCCCTAAGACCTTGAGTCCCCAGATGGTTCTGGAACCCACCGTGTGTGCACCTGTACCAGGCTCCGCGGACAGGCGAGGGCAGGCGCAAGAAGTGGGAGGCAGAGCCTGTCCCCAGCGGTGCCCTAAAGGCAGGACGCACAGCCATCAGGCGGCAAGAGCAAGGACAGGCGTCTGCCCGGGTCGGAAGGCTTCCCCAGGGTGCGAGTCCAGCGTGAGCGATGCAGAGGCGCGCTGGGCCGACCGAGGAGGCGAGGAGGCTGCCTGAGCTCAGACCCGGCCCGGGCAAGTCCAGCATCCGGCGGGCGGGAAGCCAGGTCCTGGAGGCACATGCAACCGCGGGCAGGGCTGCAGTGCGGGGCGAGGCCCGCAGGGCCCGCACCTGGCCGGGCAGCCACGGGCCACGCATCTACCCCCACACAATGGCTGAGCTCCCGCAGGAACGGAGAAGTGTCTCAGTCCCTGCCTCCAACGGGCTCTGCTATTTTTATGTCCAAGTCCGGTTAAAAATAGCTGTCTAAGCCAAGGTTTTAACTGCAGCTGACAAGACATTAAGTATTAGATACCCAAGGCCCACAAGCGATAACCATGGGCCTCTTCCTGCGCCCCGTTTCTTCCTCTACGTGTTTAACGAGAAAGCAGGTAGGAAACAGGCATGAGGGCCCCTCGCAGGCTGCGGGGTCCGCAGTGGGCATGCGCACTAGGCCCCCGCAGGCAGCTGCATGGCCGCACTCCGGCTGGAGTCCTGCAGCGCCTGCCGCCTGAGCGCTGTCTGGTGGCCAGAGCAGGTTGCCTCGGAGTCAGAGCGAGAGGAAAACGTGGCAGTGGCTGTTGCCTAGACCGTTGCCCCTGGTGCCTAGACAGAGCCTCATGCTTCCCTGGGCCCAGGGCAACAAGGCCGAGCTGGACACGAGTTGAGAGTCGCTGGCCTCTGCCCGCCTGCCCCCTGCGGTGCGGACACTTGGCATTTCCTTTTCGACACAAGAGCGACATTAGTCCAGGGGGCCCCCGCAGGCATTAGCGGGCCAGACTGTCCACACCCCAGGCGCGCCCCCAGAGAAACGAAGGCATCCATGCACTCAGAGCCGAGCTGCCCGTCCCACCGGGCCCCAAGCCATCGAGCCCTTCTCCTCTCCCCTCCCAGCGTAAGGAACGCTCCGCGCACAGGCGAAGGCACGGCGTGGGGCTGCGCCGGCATGTGTGAGCGCCGGAGGTGCCAGCCTCTTGCGTCAGTTTTCTCGGGTCTTAAAATAAGCTGCCTCTGCGCTGTATTCAGGGTGGTGTGAGGAGCTGGAGAGCAGGAGTCTGCTTCTACTCCGCAGGTGACCAGAGCCTCACCGACCCCCACCTCGGGCCGCCTGGGCGGGGACCCACTCGGCGCCCCGGCAGAGCCCCGTTCAGGCCGCAGGAGGCGCAGGCTCCAGGCCTTCACGTGGGGCCGACCTCCCATCTGGGCCGAGGGGTCCCCCAGAGCAGCCCTGGTGCCCCCGGGGCAAAGCCGAGTCAAGGCCCCCAGCCCCCAGTTCGAGAGTCACATGGGGATGCTGGAGTCAGGCCCAGTTGGAACCGCTGGACCCTGGGACAGGCAAGGGCGAGCCAGGACTAGAAGACCTTTCTCTCGTCGGGGAGAGTACAGGAGAGTCTCCACTCTCCCCAGACAGAGCCTCCCAGGGCTCCCCGTTGCACCAAAGACAACTGAAAAATAATTGTGCATTAGCATCCTGGGCCCCTGTTGACAAGCTCTGGGATTCTGGAAAAAGTCAGATGATCGCCTGACATCTAAAGCCCAAGTGACTCAAGTCTCAGGCCAGGGACCTGGTGGCTGTGGTTCCACTCCATCTCCCCCTCCTCTGGTCCAGCTCAGCATGCTGCGTTCCCTGGAGCCAGGCAGCGGCCCCCAGCCCGAACGCCAGCCCCTCTACTCTCTGAGGCTCTGGTTTCAGGCCGCAGCCCAGCCTTTCCTGTGCTTGCCCCGGCCTGGGGCTCCTTGAGCCCTCTGCTGAGGCCTCCGGTGCCCACGTCCCCTGGGGCTCCAATGGGGCCGACAGGAGCATGGCCAGTGGCTGGGAAATTCCCCCACTCTAGCTGCCTATTAACTGCCTGCCTGGTCTTTTTCTTTTCGGTACTTCTAGTGAGAAGCGCCACCTTCAAGTCAACGTCACCAACCCCGTGCAGTGCAGCCTCCATGGGAAGAAGTGCACCGTTTCCGTGGAGACGCGGCTCAACCAGCCACAGCCTGACTTCACCAAGAACCGCTCCGGCTTCATCCTCAGCGTGCCTGGGAACTGACCCTCGCGCAGCAGGGCCGCCCCTTAGCCTCACAGGCCCCGATCTCATTGCCGATCCCCGCTACTGCCCGCTAGAATCAGCTCGCAAGGCTCCTCCTGCTCAGGGCGAGCCTCGCTACCTTCTCTCAGGCCCCTCCCCTGAGGCCTTCTTCCTGGCTTTCTGCCTTGGGTCTCCATCTTCCCCTGTCCCAACTGTCCACAGTCCCCAGACAACAAACCAAAGACCCCGATGACCTGTCCCAGAGCCCTGGGCTGATGTTCAGACCACATCTCATCTCAGAGGCCACCTGACGGTGCCCTCAGTTGGTGAATGCCCCCCAGGACTGGCCAGGTCACACCAGCGTGCCTTGACCTAGTGACCAGCTGCTGACCCTGCAGGGGGTGGGAGCGGGGGAACCCAGAACACAGTTTTCTCAACCAAAGACACGCATCTCCAGCGAGGTGGGTGGAGATGAGCTGGGATGTAGCCCTGCTCTCTCCGTGAGCCCGTCCTGCCACTCCTCGTCCGCTGAGGTGATCGCAGCCCCCACCGTGATCTGGCTAAGGGAGCGTCTCAGCTCCTCCGTGAACCTCGTTTCCCCAGCCGCCAGCCAAAGCTACCAGGTGAGCAGGTTCGCCTGTCGGACCAGCCCCTCAGCCCAGGAGCCCATGGCTGGCAGAACTGCCGTGCCCAGAGGCTGCCCCCGGCCCCTGCCCCCGGCCGCCTCTCTGGGACAGGGCAGCGGTCATGCTCCGAGGGCATCTGAACCGCGCAGCCTGGGCCAGTGGTTGCCTTACTTATTTTGGCAGTTTGCAAGGTTGCTCATCAGATTCCATGTCCTCTGTGCCCACATTCGTGTCAGGAACACTAATAAGAAAATGGAGTTGCAGAGGCTGGGGAGCACACGTGGGTTTGGAAGTTTCCCCTTCGGGCATGTTTCGTGCTCACCTGGAGAGCTAGGGCTGGGACAGGAGCACACAGGAGCCTTGGGAAGCGGAGAGACGCACAGAGCGCGGGGCCCTGGCACTGCAGGCCAGGCCAGAATGCCCGCCCCGCCGGCCCGGCTGCTGGGCACGCAGACTTCACGCCAGGCAAGCTGTGCTGTCTTGCCAGGCCCTGCCCAGCACATGCCTTCAGATGCCTTCCTGAGACCGTGGACCTCTGGGCAGCCCGGGCTTCCCTGCCAGGCGCCTAGAAAGAAGAAGAGACTCTGGGCACCTTGTGCGGTGAGGTGAAGGGACTGAGGGGCAGCCCACGCCTCAGGAGGAGCCCAGCGGGGTGCAAAGGGACACACCGACATTTCCTTCTGTTTCTGTCACACATGCTGCCCCCTGCTCCCCACCTCCCCAGGCCCTTGCTCCCGTCCTGTCATCCTGATCCCACAGAACACACCAAGGGCCCGAGCGTGGCCTCCAGTGCCTCCCCCAGTGCCTGGCAGGGCGGCCGGTGGACCCCAGGTGGGCCCAGCAGTGAGGCCGCACTCGCACCCCTGCACCTGCTTCCCAGGGCTGGCCACCTGCGCACCACGTGCAATTTGCAGCAAAGAACCCTGCAGACGCCCATCCTCGGAAACCCGCTCACACTGGGCCTGGGCGGGTGCCCACGTAGCACAGCGGGGCCCGTAGTTTTGCCAAGCACCTTGACACTAGGCAAACCATCTTAACTGGAACGTTGCCTCTCCATTCCACTTTTTCCCCCAAACTTGCCGCTTTTTACTAGATACATGCACATGTATGTTTTTAGACACACCAAAATGGAACATGCCAAATGAGTGCCTTTCAGAGGCTAAGGAGGAGGTGGAAGGGAGTTTGGGGTCCTTCCTCCCGCCTTCTGACGTTGCCTGTGGCCCCGGCTGAGGGCCCGAGTCCGCCGCTGTCCCAAGCACTTCTTCGCACCTTCCTAACAGGAGTCAAAGTGTGGCAGCAGGAGGAGGACCAGGGGCTTGGGGCAGGGCCTCGGCAGCGCCGCCAGGGGGTGGGGGTGGGGGGAGCGGGACAGAGATTGTACTCAATGAAGTGTTTCTCTTGATTTAATTAAATGCGGTTTATGGATTGGTGCATATATTCCTATTTTCCATTAAATTAACTCTATTTCTAAAGCATATTTTGATTTACCATCAAGAGCAATAAAGCATTAAATCTTATTTTTAAACGTGTGCTGCCTTTCTGTAATTGAAAACTCCACCTGTAATTGTGACATCTTAGCTTGTAGAGTCGACTGCTTGCCAGAGGCCGGAAGGGAGCAGTAAGCACAAATAAGGTAAAGTGGGGGATGGCTTGGCTGAGCCTTCTGAACAAAGCATCGCGGTGAGCAGGAGGGAGCTGTGGGAAGGGGGAAGGAGGAAGGGGGGTGGGGGGGTGGTCAGCCCGAGCCTCTCCTTGCTGCATTTTGAGGCCTGACTGCTGGACCCTTAAGCTCTTCCGTGTTTGCTGAAACTCCAGCGTGCGTTTAGGTGGGAACGGCTCGGATCCCTCCAGCCGCAGCTGGGGACAAGGTCCGAGTGCTCGCGGTGGGCGGACGGCGGTCGGGACCTTCCAGGGCGGGAGTTGCCGCCAGGCCAGGCCTCGCGCCCGCAGGCCCTGCCGCGCAGGAGGCCGCCCGTCCCCGCGTGACCGGACACACAGCACGCCTCTGTCGCCGGGCCCGCGGGAGGTGCCCTCGGGAAAGCGAGGGCCCGGTCGCCAGGCTGGCCGTTCCCCAGCTGCGACCTGAGCAGAACCGCCTTCCCGGTCTCCAGGGGCGGCTCCAATCCACAGGTGGAGAGACCGCCGCGGCCTACCTCGTTCCTTGGCTCGCCTTATCGCCCTCACAAGTGTAGCCTCCTTTGTATTTCTCTCTCAAGTGTAGCGTATTTAACAAACTGAAGGTAAGACCCTCCACCAGCAGAAAGATTACGACTCGTTTCATCGCAAGACTCCCTTGACAATGGCGGTCTGGAGCGGACCGCACAGCATCCCCGAGGTGCGCCTGTCCAGCCGGGGGCGGGGGGGGCGGGGGGGTGGCCCAGCCTTGCACAGTTCCGGGCTTATCTGGAAGCCCCAGGGCTGGGCATTGCAGGCACCACGCCTGCTGGTCCGGGCCCCACTGGGCAGTGGGCGCTGAGCAGAGCCAGGCCCAGGACACATGGGGGCGGCAGCCTTGGCGCCAAACTCCACACGTGGGGCCTAAGGCCTGGCGCCCCAGCAGGACCCTGCAGCCCCCCTCGCCTTCCCCAGGCCGAGCCGGAGCATAACCACGCCAAGGGAGCCGCTCCCGCCCGCCCGGCAGCTAAAGAGGAGTTGACTTAACCTGAGCTGCTTCCTTCACCACCTGAACGTCAGCGCGCTCGGCTTGTTAAGCCCGCTACCCTCCCCCATAACGCAAATCCAATTACGTTCGGAGCGCGCGAATCATTTATAAAAGGGGCCCCCAGCACGCTCATGAATGATGGACCCACAAAGAGGTCTAGGTAATGGATGGTCAGTGCGTTTTATTTAATCAGCACGGTACAAAAATAAATAAAAATAAGGGAAGGGGAATTAAATTACAGCCAAACTGAGCTCCATGACCTTGTCAGATTATAAACCACACACACTTACAAACACACTACACATACATACAAAATGAGACAAATATAAATTAATATCAACAATACCCACAGTTTGGTCAAAGAATAGCTACAGAAGAAATTGCACTAAAAAACAACATACATCGCACATTGTGTAATTAGCAGTTTCAAATATACAGCTATGAAAATTTCCGTGTGAAAAAAATGGCACATTTTCTTTTCATTGCAAGTTTAACAACTGTTGGAACGAAACTAAATTCTAATAACTGCATGGAAAGAATATATCAACCCTTCAGCTTTACAAGAAAGAAAAACCAAATCCTGAACTATTATTCCTGTGACTTGTTCTGTGCACGGGTGTAATTTTCACAGCCATCTGTTCTAAGATTATTTTTCTTAAGACACAAAATGCTCCTGGTCTGCATGCACAATATCACTGTAAAAGCAACAATTAAAGAATAAAGGTTTTTTTTTTTTTTTGTCGGTTAGTTTTTTCCTTTTTTTGTTGTTCTAAAAGTAGTCTTCATAGCAGCATGTCAAATGGATTCATTGCTTGCACACTCAAGTGTATCAGTCCCTTTACACAATACTGATGACCAGTGCAAGGGGAGGGAGGAGAACACAACAGGCTTCTTCACACCGATGGACCCAGAGTTACTTCCTTAGTCCCCAGCCACTCCTGAAATTTGCACCGCTTCCAAAAAATAAAAAAATAAATATGGAGAAAGAGAAGGAAACACACAAAACTGGAATCCTGTAGATGCAACGTAACTGCACAGTTTCAAGCCAGGTTCAGCCAGCCGGACAAGTGACTGCAAACACGTGCCCCTCCTCCGGAGACTCGGCACCGAACCACCCTCTTCATGCCGCCAGGACCCCCTGCCCCACTGGGCCTCCTACCTCACTCAGGTCACACGTGGTCACAGGATCTGAACAGACACGACGTGTGACAAGCCCAGCAGAGAGGAGGCGCCGCGGAGAAGTCCGTGCCAGCAGCAACGACAGCTTCCTTCCAGCCCTGCATCAGATTAGCCGGCAGTCCGGGGGAGGCTCGGCGTGGGCCCCGGGGCGCAGCTGGGGCCAGTGCTCTGCTGCACGCGGGGGCAGGCCCGCTTCCTCGCATGCGGGCACCACGGGCGGCAGGCTCTGCTCCAGGCCTCTTAAACCCGGACCTCAATTTCACAGCTTGTTCTTTTTCACGTGAATTTCAGTAGTGCTTGTGCTGAAAAATCGGCAGCCACCTGGGACCTAATCCTATGTAAAATGACCCTCTGCCTCCCCGTAAGTCCCCCATTCCAGCACTCCCTGGGGGACTGGCAAGAGAGGATTCTCTGTAGCCTTGACACTGGTCTTTGTTCCCCAAAGCCAGGGCGATGGGCCCTAGAGGAAGACTCGCTCCCTTCTCTTGGTCCTCTCCCAAGTCCCAAGCCACCAATCTGGGAGAATTAGAAAGAAAATTGATTAAGTACCATCGTGTGTTTTTACAGCGACTGAAGTGGAAACCAAAACCAGCAGCTGCAAATGATGAGTTGTACAATCAGCGGGCTTCCAAAGCAGGCAGGAGTCCCACTCCTCTCTTGTAATTGTCTCCAAGATCCAGCTGCCTCACTCGGCTTTGTGGGGCAAGGCTTCGTCTTCAGAACAGTCTGGAAACAGCTTTAAATTAAAAGGGGTATGGGTGGGGGCAGGGGTGTATCATTACCACCCCCCACCCCCCAGCTCTGCAGAACTATGTGCCCCAGCAAGAGGCGGCCGTGGCCATCCGTGGGCACTGGCTCGGTCTCAGGCACGGCACCCCCGCAAGGCAAGCTGTCGATAGTGGGCACCTGCAGCGGTCCTGGCCCTCACCACGGGTGACTAAGCTGCATTATCCAAATGAAACACTCACCAGGAAAGGAGTGTCCCCAGCTTCACCCCACCTCTTTAGCTGGGACCCAAAATAAAAAAACACTTGAGTCAAACCAGCTCATTGCCAACACAGCTGGGAGCAGGGGACAAGGGGACTGAGGGGCAAGTTTTGTGTCTCCACTAAAGAAAGCCCTTCTCCCTAAAGAAGAAAAAAGAGCAAACCAGGGTTGTGGGCAGCCAAACAACAGGACAGAACCTTGGCACCTGGCCGGCATCTCCCAGATGAAGGAGGCATCACGCCTCACAAGCCCACGTGCGGCTCAGTCAGGGCGGCTGCTCCAGGAGCCTCTGGGGGAGTGGACAACCCAAGGCAGGAGCCAGAAAACAGCCCCCACCCAGGAGCGCCAATTCCTCCCTAGGCCGACAGGCCAGAGGCCCCTCTGCAGCTCCCGTGCAGGGAGCAATGGAGAGCCTCACCTGCCCTGGTCCAGCAAGGGCGCTGGTGGCAAAGGCAAGCCAGTCCTTTGAATTCCCCAAAGTAGAAAGCTGGGGACTGGGCTCTGAATACATCTTCTGGGTTTCACACAAGGTTCGGGAGTTCAAAAACGCCCCGAGTGCTTGGCAGGGCTGAAGAAAACCCCAAGGAGAGAAGGTTGGCCGGGAGAGGCCCTCGGTGGCTTTGCTAGACACATACTGTACATAAAATCTGATTTGTTGAATACTAAATTTTTTTAAATGAAGTGAATCCTTGAGCCATGATGCAGGCCACAGGGCTCACCGATCCAGCCCAAGGAGGAGCCGCTTCTTGTCTTCCTGGCCACTCTCGTTCTTCAGGTCGGAGAACACCTGTGTGAAGTAGTGTGGGTCAGCATTGATCTGCAGCATCTTGGAGCTCATGAGGTTGATGACGGAGAGACATCGGTCCCAAAAGGCCTCCTTGCAGCTCTCCACCAGGAAGGGCTTGAGCGGGTAGGAAATCTCGTTGCCCATGTAGGAGTAGGAGAGGTACAGGCAGGTCAGCAGCACGGCCTGGAGCTCGTGGTCCGAGCCCACCTCGGAGGAGATCACGTCCCTGCAGAGCATGTAGAGGAAGACCACGTTGGCCGGCGTGATGAAGCCCTGGTCCTGCCAGCCCTGCAGAAGCAGTGAGCGGTCCACGCTGCGCAGCCAGAGCACAGGGTCCGTGGGGGACAGGTGCTTCAAGCGGTAGCACCGGCGGCAGAGAAACTCGCCCAGGCAGCGCAGCAGCTCGCTGGTGGACGCCTGAACAATGACCCGTTTGGGCGTCCCCGCGGAGGTGACGGCAGGGTGCGGGGCCTTCTTGACGGAGGAGGAGACCCCAGTCTGGGAGCCCGAGAGCTGGCCGGCAGGAGGGGCAGGCGGCTGGGCCGGTGGGGGCTGGGCGAAAGTGGACAGGTTGGCGCACGACAGCGACTTCTTCAGGTTCTCATTGTTGAGGTGCGTGATGTTGTTCTGGTAGCTGCCGTTAGGCTGCACCTTCTTGGAGTTCTTCTTCTTGGCCGACACGGCCACGATCCTCTTCCAGGGCAGCACGGAGATGATGGAGTGCCGCTTCAGGTTCTTGTCCTTGGCATTCTTGCTGTTCTGCACGGCCGTGTAGTGGCCCACCGTGGCGGCGCCATCCTCAAACAGCGTGGCCTTGCGGTAGCTGGGGGACAGGGATAGCACCGTGCCCATGGTGCCGCTGCGCGCCGGGCGGGGGCCCGCGCCCCTGCGCGCCCAGCCTGCCGGCCCGAGGGAAAAAACAGCTCACCGAGCCCGCGGCTGCCTCGGAGAGGAGGCGAGGACGCTCCCGGGGGCGCGTGCTGCCCCTTCGGATCTGCGTGGAAAACAAGATGGTTCTCAGCACCAGGCGGGGCTCGCGCCGCGCTACTCCGCCCCAGCCTCGCGGCCCCCGCGGACCTGACCCGCGGCCCCGTACTCGAGCCTTCCCCGGGCTCCGGGGCCCCGCCCGCGCCCCCGCGCCGCAGCCCGGCTGCCTCCACTGCGGCACCCCCGCCCGCCGCTACCGCTGCGCCCCGGACTGCCGCGGGAAGGGACCCCCGACTCGACACTGCGAGCGGCCCTGACCCTGGCCTTGGCTCCCTGAGGTAGCAGGCTTACCCAGCAGGCGGCGGCTCCTGCGCTCCGCGCCCTCCGCAATGCGCGCCTCGGTCCCGGCGCTCGGCGGGGCTCGGCGGGGCTCGCGCTCGGCGGCGGCGGCGGCTCCGGAGCTACTGTCCAAGGTTCTGCTGGCGCCGCGGCCCCGCCCCCCCCTCAGCCGCCTTCGCCGCCGCCGCCGCCGCCGCGCTCCCGCCCCGGCGCGCACCTCAGAAATCTCCCTGCCGGGAGCGCGCGCGGCCCACGCGCCGGCGCGGACGGGCCTGGTGTTGCCTGGGAGCCGGGGCTGCCGCCGTCCTCAACACCAACCGCGCGCGGTGCCGGCAGGGACGCGGTCGCGAGCCCGAGGCGCCTCTACTCGCCGCGCCCCAGCGAGGACCCGGACTCCCGCGGCGGTGGGGACTCTCGGCGCCGGCCCCGCCCCGCCCCCGGGACCGTCCCTTCCCGCACAGCTCGCCGCCCGCTCTGCACCGCCGCTCCAGCAGCAGCAGCAGCAGCAGCAGCAGCAGCACCTGGCCGCATTAGAGTCCGGGGCGCCCCACGCAGCGGAGCTCGGGCCGGTGGGGAAACGCCGGGGCGGGGCGGGGCCGGGGACCGACCCCTCCCGCCGCCCCGCCCAGACACGTGCTGCCTTTGTTCCCGCCGCGGCGCCCGCAGCTGCGGGCCGCGGGGGCGCTCTCCGCCTAGTCCCCGCCCTGGCGACGCGGGGTCAATCCGGGCTGAAGCTGCTAACCGAGCCGCACGAGAACCCATCCATGCAGGCCTCAGCCCGGAGCTCCCTCCTTCTATTTAACATCCTCGTCCCCCGAAAACGCGCTCGGGAGCTCGGGAAGAAGGCCAGCTTTGAGAGCCACGGGCATCCTGAGCGGACTGTCCCATCGGTTTTAGTTCCTTCCCCTCCGGGACCTCCGTTGCCCCATCCCCAGGCTCACAGCTGGGTGGGTCTTAGAAATCGAGGCTAAAGAGGAGCAGGCAGTTCTGGGCTGTTCCACAAACAGCGACTGGCTAACCCACGGCACCACATCTGAGGCCCCTGCCCCAGAGATGAGCGGGTACTAAGCCCATCATCACACATGTGACCTCGAAATTTCCACTCGCCCTCATCTCTTGTAGGAAAACTGGAGCAACTGCTTCCCTAACCGGTGACTTAAATGTTTTTCATGCTAAAATGCATAATTTGAAGGCTTGGTGCAGGTAAAAAATTTTAAATTTCGAGTAAAATTCTGGTTCACTGAAGAACTGCTCCCCTCACAGACAAGAATCCAGATCTTTCATTTGTTATTCTTTTAATTTGGTTTTAGAGATCGATTCAGATTTGACCACAAACCTGGGAAATATCTTAATTCAAATTAGCACCTCTGTACCAAGTGATCAGGAAGTGGCAGTCCAGAAACGAGGAGAATGTCCAGTTCCCGACTCCCAAACCACTCCAGCCTGCCAACCTGGGCCAGCTCTGACAACTGCCCTAAGCAAAACAGAAATCTGGCATCGTTCAGAACAATGCCACATCAGAAAGTACTAGCATTTGCTTATGTACTACCCAGAGATCTCTCCATCAATAGTGGCAATTGAAAGCTGTAGGGACCTTGGTGACTATATATAGTAGAAAATGCATTGCTCTGTACCCAGGGGGCTGGTCCTTCCCATGGCCCTTCAGAAACATCCACGAAAGCTGTTAACTCAGAAGATAGAGGCAGGCCCTTTCAGCTCCATGCTCTCCTCCCTCTGAATGTTTCTCAGTATATGACCCCCACCTGCTCTCCCAGTGGAGGTCTAGTCAACCCTTCTTTTCCTTGGAAGCTCTAAGAAGAAATCTCCTTCAGGTCCTTTGGCCCAGCGACTTAGCCAACACTGAATCCCAGGCTTTTTATCTCCAGCCCCTAGTGGAGAACCCCAGTTCCTGAGTTGACTCTCTTCGACATTGCCTTTTCTATATTCTGGTATTATGCAAAGGTTAAGTGCTTCTCACTTCCCAAAATATGCTTAGATTTCTGTCTTTAAACAAAATTGTTTATTGATTTGAGACAGAGAAACACCAATTTGTTGTTCCACTTACTTAAGCATTCATTGGTGGATTCTTATAGGTGCCCTGACTGGGGAAAGAACCCACAACCTTGGTGTCTCAGGATGATGCTCTAACCAACTGAGCTACCTGGCTAGTGTTGTGCCTATATTACTAAGACTGTAATCCACCCCTTAGAACCACCCTGCTACCTGTATCTACAAATCTAATTCTAGTTATTCTAATTCATGCTGGGTAGTACCAAGCTCCCTTTCACCCCACTCCTTTTTCCAAACGGAGGAAGCATGCGTTTGCCTGGCCCTCCTCCAGCCTGGCCACACTCTGGCATCCTCTCTTGCCTTTGTCTGGCCAGCCCTTTCCCCATCACCTTCAAAAAGAGCTCTTGGCAAAATTCCCCCAACCTCCTCACACTTGTCAAAGACCAAGTCATATTTGCAGCAGAGCATGAATGGGACAGCGTCGCCAGCCCGCTGGCTGTTGGGAGGGAAGAGGCTGCCTGGAACCCGTCCACCCAAGCCGAGCTTGCTCTGCCTGTCTCAAGGCCCACACAGTTCCTCTGCTCACGTTAGCCCGCCACCCCCACCCCCAAGCTTCTATCTTCGCTCCAGCTGCAAGGTGAGGAAGAAAGGGCAAATAATCTGCCAGAAACAGCCGAATCGAGGACCCAGAAGGCAGACCCAGCTGAATGATGCGGAGCTGTTTTCTTCCAAAGAGCTGCAGGGAAGATCTCCAAATCCCACCCCCATCAATCAGCCTATTTATCCTATAGCCTATCTGGAGCGGCGGGCAGCGCCAGCCTGCTTGTCATCTGCACTGCTGAGCTGGGCTGCCCTTGTATCACAGGAGAGCCCCAGCCCGCTGCACGTCCCCTTCCCATACCACCCCGAGGGAGGCCAAGGACCTAGCCAACTAGCTTCCAGAAGGGGGTCCAAATAAAGCGAGGCTGAGCCATGGCTCCTGAGCAAGTCGCGCGCTTTGTTCTTCAAGGGATCGCAGAGCAGCCCCTAGCGGCCCTTCTGGGCAGCACCGGTTACATAACCCCAGCAGCAGCAGGTCCAGCCGAGGCCTCGGTGCCAGCACTCGTCAGGGTCTCATGAACACACAAGGAAGCCCTGGCACCAGGAAGGCGAGTGCCACAGAGAGTCCTGAGGTGAGTGAGCCGGGCCCTCAGCTGTGCCTAGACCCAGCCCATCTGAGGTCTGGAGGGAAAGCCGCCCTGGAGGTCTAGAGCAGCACCACCCAAAACCCACAGCATGAGCCAAGTGCAAGCCACATAGGAGTTTTCTAGTAGCCACATTAAAAAAAAAAAAAAAAAGTAAAGAGAAACGTGAACTTTAATAATATATTTTATTTAACCCAATAATGCTCAAAATATTTTCACATATAAAAATTAGGTTGAGCTATTTCACACTTTTTTGGGGGTACTAAGTCTTTAAAGTCAGGGCTGAGTTTACATTTGCAGCGCATCACAGTTCAGACCAGCCACACTTCAAGAGCCTCAGCAGCCGCGGTGGCGCGCGGCTACCCCTGCGCGGAGCGGGCCTCCAGAGGCCAGCGAGCTGCGAAGGGGGCGGCCAGAGGGTGGGGCTGCTGCCGCACTGCGCTCTTCGCAGCTGCCCCGGGGTGGGGAAACCTCCCGCCCCGCCCCCATGCGCCAGCTCCAGAGACCCTTGGAATCTTTTTTAAAAGTCCTTTAATGAAGTAAAACTCAAGCAATACAATACTGAAAAGGGCAAACAGCAGCACTGCTCATACTGAAGTAGAGTTGACAGCTGGAGCTCGCCCCTCCCTCCCGGTGGCTCCAGAGCCCTGCAGGAGGACCATTCACAGGGTCTGAGGGACAATGTGACAATCGCTGCTTCTGAAGACTCCAAATGGACGCCCAACTCCATACAACCCTCAAACCACAATCGCCCACCACGGAAGCACCATCCTCATCCTGTGGACAGGAAGTCGGCTCAGAGAACACTACATACATCCACCCAAACCCCCGTCCCCGTTGCCCTGGAAAAGTGTGAAGCTACCTGAGCACCACTGCCCGCCTCGGGCCTTACGCCCGAAGCCTCCCACTGCCCCCCTTCCCGAGGCCCATGAGGCGGGCGCTCGGCACAGCCATGGCCCCCAGAGCTACCCAGGGCTGTCTGCATTGACTAGAAGCCCTCCAGCACTCAAGAAAGGACACTTTCTGAAAAAAAAATTGTTTTTATTGGAACTCATCTGAACATCAGATATACCTGGTGTTGGTTAGCAAGAACCGTTTGTACATTTGATATTGATGGTGCCAAAACCAAAACAGTGACTGGACATGATGGGGAGAGATGCTGAGAACAAAAACCTGATTTTGGAGAGGAAAATAAAAGGCAGGCAGATTCAGTGAGGATGCCAAACCTAGTACAACAAAATCCTTTTACAAAATATAAATTTATTCCAAAAACCTGGAAGGATAATCTGAGAAAGGGAAGGAAAGACAGGAGGCCGGCAGGGAGGAAGAGGGAGAAAGGGGAGAGAGGCAGAGGGAGGAGAGGAAGGAGAAAATGGAGCTGAGCACGAAGCCTTGCTATTTTACCGTGACACACAGCATGCTGGAACAGTGCTCTCCCTCCCATCCCTTCGGTGTCTAAGAGGTAAATAAGGAAGCTCCCTGGAAAGGGGACATGAGGTTGCTCAAAAACCCAACAAAACTTTAAAAACAAAAAACAAAAAAAAAAAAAAACCCCACACCCCGCAGTCTCATTTCCGATGTTCACTGTTTAAAAAAGGAATAAACCCATCTGCCAGCAGGGGAGGGGAGGAGTGGGGGACAGGGAGAAGCTCATGGATGTCAGACAGCGTGACTTCCCCAGGGGGAGGAGGAAGGGAGAGAGACATGTGACAGTCTCCTGGTTGAGAGGGGAAAAGAGAGAAAGAGCGGAGGGCGCAATTAAAACACTGACGTCTAATCTAGTTTACTGTGTTAAAAAGAGCCACATGCACAGCAGGCCCCCTGAGGGCCCACACTGCACCCCGTGTGGCCGTGGTGGACACTAGCT